ATAGCTCAAATTCAATTAGCCTGCATAACATTCGCAGCAAGGTGGTGGTGACTAAAACTTAAGAGCCAAAGAAGACGCCAAGGGGATCAGTAAAAAAAGTGCTGCCTCAAGCTGTCTTTCTCTCGGAGGCTCATAAAAGTCAACAACAACAACTCCATTAGAGCCAGTGCGAGCTGCACTGACAAATTCAGCAAGACAAAACCTCTCTCTCTCTCTCTCACTCACTTCAGGAACCGTTGGTGAAACAAAAAGCAGCTAGGCCCTTAAAAGAACAAGCGTAAAAACAACGCACACTGAAGAAGAGACGCCAGAGAGGACCAGTGATCTCTCTCTGGCCACCACCACTTATCTCCCCCTCAAGTGACATTTTTCGCAATATTCCTCCTGCTGCTCAGTCGTCTCACTGGTCAGAAGAGTGTCTGACTGCCAGGCAGGTAGCACTGTCAGTCAGTCAGTCCGCCAGGCAGGTAAGTGTGTCCCTGCCTGCAGGCGACAACGGCTCTGTCTCTCTGTCTCTGTCTCTCCTTCTGGCGACAACTGCTCATCGACGACGACGACGACTCAAACAGGCTCTTACTGCTCTCTCTCACCAGAGGCGATGAGTTCACTGATAACAGATGGATAGATAGACAGACGGGTGGACGGACATTCCACATTGAACCACATCACCAGTGTGGTGAAGAGATCGAACTGAAAGCAGAAAGCTCACTGAGAAGCAAAGATCGTCCCCACTCGACACTAATTCGTCAGTGTAGAAACACAAATATGAAGAAAAGGTGACACAGAGAAGGATTGTGTGCATCTAAAAGCAGCATTTGTAGAAAAAGTGCCTGCGTCAATTAATACGTTTCAGTGCTGTACAGTCAAACTACAGCTAACTGTTTTTGGTCAATAAGCTCAAACTTGGAGCAATCCTCTCTTTCAGAGAATTACCCAACTGACCAAGGAAAGAATTAAAAATGATTACAAGACAACTTAAAAGCTGGGCAGCAGTAATTGAAGGCAGACACCTGTTTGTTCCTCTGCAGTAATCAGACAGACACTGTCAAACGGTGGGGAAGAGGAATTTAGCCACCTCTCAAACAAAGCCGATTTCAGTGCCTAAGAGTGCGTCCTAATAATAGCGCGTCCCCTCTCGTCTCGAGGAGAACCAAGCGACAGCATCAGCAGCAGCAGTAATTGCCGCCGTTGGCCGTAAACTTGAAGAGGGGGCAGTAAAATATTAAATTTCATATCATAGTCAGTGGAGGAGAAAGCAAAACGTTTCCACTCGGAGGATGCTTCTTCTCAGGTCGGTGCTAAAACAAGAGAAAGACGATGACGATGAGAAGGCCTCATCATCGTCGTCGCAGCAGCAGCAACACCATCAGCTAATGACGGCGAAAAGATTGCGAGGGGGCTTGAAAGAAGCTGTGCTCATCACAGTCAGATGAGACATCAACCAGCAACAACAATTCAGCAAACGAGCAAATAAAAAAGGTGATCTCAGCAAGCAAAACACTAGTCACTACCACCACCACCACCTGTCCCCCTCAAAACAAAAACACTGCTGGTTACTTGCTGTCCTTCTCTCCCTCAACTTCAACTAAATTCAATTGAATTGAACAAATTGATGATGTAGGTGGTGGTGGTGGTGGTGGCAGTGGAAAAAAATCCTCCTCAGTCGACAGATTGCTCGCTCGCTCGCCCGCCCGGTCATGACCCAGGGAGCAACAGTCACCGGCCATTAACATTAAATAAAAAGACAAGAGCAGCAGCAGCGAGAGCTGTTGCATGAAAGACAATGATGAGAAGTGGTAGTGTGATTGTGAACAAGCAGAGGGTAATCGAGAAATGGCGAGTCTCGTCGACTCAGATCAGCTCAGATCACACCGAATTGCACTCGGTCACGCACACAAACACACACACAGACAGACAGACACGTCCACAGCCTCCTCTCTGATTAGCTACCAACAACAGCAGCAACAACAAGGCCATCAACTTAATCATCATCATCAGCAACATCATCACCGCCGGTGACAAAGTCAAAGCACATGTGTCAAAGTACAAAGTTCTCAGTCTTACCTGTAGCGCCATGCCCTGTCGGTAGTAGGCCTTACTCCAGCTAGGGTTGAGCTGCCTCGCCTTGATGGCGTCCTGCAGCGCCCGCTTGTACTTGCCCAGGCGGCAGTAGGCGGCCGAGCGGTTGCCGTAGAGAATGTGCGCATTCGTGCTCGAGTCCAGCTTCAGCGCCTCGGTATAGAGGCGGACGGCGCCGGTGAGGTCGCCGGAGGTGACGGCCGCTGAGGCCGCGCGGACGCGCTCCGCAAAGGCCGCCGCGGTGGCGCGAGCGGCCGCCGAAGAAGATGAGGATGAGGTGGGCGTGGAAGAGGTAGTTGAAGAGGCGTTGGCCTGTGCTGAAGCATTTGTGCTGCTTTGATTTCCGTTTACAGTGTTGGCAGCAGCAGGAGCAGCTGTGGTGGTGGTGGCCGCCGTGGTGGCCGTCGAGCAGGACGCCGCCGATGACGATGACGAGCGACAGTCGCCCGAGGAGGTGACGGTGGTGAAGGAGGAGGTAGAGGTAAGCCGGTCCAGTTCGATGGAGGCAATCTAAGAGTGAACGAAAACGGGGGAGAGAAAAGATAAAGTGGTCTTAATAAGAAGCACTAGTTAACGTAAAGTGTGTGTGTGTGTGTGTGTATCGATGCAAATGTAGAGCAAGTGTGAAGTAGTGTAGTCACGACTGTGCTCGACATTGCCGCCGAAAAGGTCCGAGAAGGAGAGCAAGTGTGAGCCAGTGAGCGAGTGAGCAGTAACGTTCTTGCAGCACCGGCATCAGCAGCAGCTAATTCTAATTGCATTAGCAGAAAAAAGAAGCCGGGAAAAGAGAAAGAGACCTGAGGCTGATCTGGCTGCCCGTGTGTGCTCCCTGCCGACACCATTTAGAAGCAGCCACAGCAACTACACAACAGCAAAACTAGCTGAGNCTGAGGCTGATCTGGCTGCCCGTGTGTGCTCCCTGCCGACACCATTTAGAAGCAGCCACAGCAACGCAACAGCAAAACTAGCTGCAAACGCGAGTTGCCTTGATTTGAAGTCCTCTCTGTCCGGCTAAACTGAAAAGGAAAACTGACAATCGTAGAGAAAAACTAAGAGATTTCTCTGATTCCGCAAGAGCTCCTTTGCCTGGCTGATACACAGTGGCCACAACAGCATCAGCAGCAACAGTTGGTGGCCAGCCAGTCAGTCAATTAATCGTGCCATTTGCCGCGCCTGCCGCTGCTGCTGCTCGTGCTACTGTGCTCGATGTGACCGCGATTAGAGTGAGAAAGACCGGAGGATTAATAGACACACGCCCGGTGGTGGTGGTGTGTTCAGGTGTAATTCAGGTGGCAGACTAGGCACAGAAAGTAGTTGAGAATAGACCGGTCAGAAGAATGAGCATCAGAGAAGAAGAAGAAGAAGTGCGCACAGTTTAGCACAGCCCTCAATTTGACCAGCAATCAGCATCAATCGAGGGGGGGGGGAGAGAAAGCATAGGAAGGATGGACTGAGAATCGACGACCACCAGTGACCATAAATCAGTGACTTTTGGTCAGCCATTGCAGCATCAAATAAACTGTGTGCAATAGGACACTGCATAGCTGCAGCTGGCGCATCATCGATCGACAGCATTGATTTATCGCACATAGCCTTAGCCTGTCTGTCCGGTCAATGTACCTGTGCTTTGGACTATCTGCCAGCAATGCCATTCAACACACTTAGCATTAAATGGTAATGATAATATGGCAGGAGCACACAAAGGAGGCATCAGCAGCACTGTATTACCAATTCATAACCCCCTCTCTTTCTCTTTCTCATTTCCTCTTGCGCATTCCTTTCTCAGTTGTTCGCATCTCGTAGAAGTATCACTAGAGGAAGCCAACTCTCTCAGAACTTCTTCCAGCTCTTCAGTGCTTTCTCCGCGACAAGCTCACGCAAAACACAACCAACACCAACATCTTTGTTGTCTAGTGTTGTCGAACAGACAGGACAGGACAAGACAAGACAAGACAAGACAAGACAAGACAACACGCAAGACAATACTTGCGTCGCGGCGGTGGTGGCGGCGGCAGACAATTGCCGGTGCTGTCTGGAATTCGAGCAGAGTCAAGTCAAGCAGAGTGAAATGAGACTGCTACGACTTCAGCACAACGAGTACAGTCTGTCTGTCTTGCTGCTGCCTTTGCCTCTGGCAGGACAATCCACAAGACTACAGCGCATCTATTCGGTAATTGGGTGCACCACTGCCAGTGAAGTGAATCGTAAATCAGCGCAAATATGATGGGCCATCACTGCAAGGTCAGTCAGTGTTTGTCTGTCTGTTTGTCTCTGTTTGTCAGTGCCCCATCCTTTCCTCTTCATTTCTTCTTTTGCAGACTGTGTGTTTGTGTGTGTGTTTGTGTTTAGTGAAGCTTGCCAGAGTCATAATTTGGCAGAATATGAACAAGAGTGGCAGAGGAAGAAGAAGATGAAGAATGTGCGCGTTCTGCAGAAACGAAGACGAAAGAGATTAATGTCGTTTGGCCTCTTCGACAACAACCAACAACTACCACTGGCCAACCTTTATCACCAAACACACTCGCAGATAGCAAACACAGCAGTTGATACCCTACAACCGAAGAACTGACGGTTTCAAGAGAAAACAGCCCATAAAAGTGCTGCTGCTGCTGCTGCTGCACCAGCGAAACAAACTCTCGCGGCGCAATTAGCGATTATATAATCATCAAAGAAAACGTCAGGCGAATCAGACACACACACGTGTGCAGCAGTTGTTGTACACTGCAGCAGCAGGTGAAACAACTGACGTCTGCGAAAAGAAGCATCTCCATAAAAAACTAGGCAGTCGGTGATAAACAACAACACCACTGAGCGAGCCCCTGACCTCATCTGCGTTTCAGGTAGTGGTGGTGGTGATAAGATAAAAGAGACTGAAAAATGAAATCCTAGAAACTAGCACTACTACTTCATCATCAGTGTCATTCTGGGCAATGAAGGGCATCCGATTACCCTGATAGAGTGAAGATGCCAACTACCGAACACAGTCAGCAGTACAAGGAGAACAGCACTGTCAACTACTAATCAATGTGTTCAATCAGAGCTGCCTACCTGCAGCAAATTAATTAACTAATGACCAGCAGCAGAGGCAGTCAGTCAGTGAGCATCACAAACAGTACACCAACGAAAAGGTTAGCGAGAACCCTTCGGCGGTAGATGTGTGTGTGAGTGTCTGTTCAATTGAGATCGAGAATCGAGACGGCAGTAGCAGCAGCAGCAGCAGCAGCAGTGTGCAGTGCACATCAGGCAATATAAGACGATAATAATAGATTGATTGCATTCCAATGCTGAAAGAGAGCACTGGCTATTAAACTAAAAGCAACAGCAGCAGCAGCAGTCGTAAGGAAGCTCCATAAAACGCCAATCGCCCGATGATTGGCAGCAGCTTCGGCAGCATCGGTTGAGCAGTGAACCGGTTGCTGCCTAGCAGACCAGCCAACCAACCAGCAACAGTCGGGCAATTAATCGTCGCCATCATTTCAATGCTAATCTTTCTCCCTTTTGGCCAAGGAGAAGAAAGAAAGAAAAGAGAGGAATAACAACAGCTTTAGAGTGTGAAGAGGTCTGGGCCTTTGCGCTGCCTAGACAAACACTACAGCACTACTAGGGCCCGGATGATGACGACGATTGCTGCTGCTGCCTGGAGATGGCCAAGCAGAGGCAGCAGCAGAAGGGCTTAGGGCAATTTGCAGTGCTCAAAGTTGGAGGCGTCCGGGCAACACAACACAGCACAAACACAGGTGGGATGAAAGCACAGGCTGCCTGACTGACTGAGAGAGACTGGAAATTACAATTTAATTAGGCCTTGTTATGCATGGCACTGCTTATTAGTGTGTGCTAGGGGCCCGGGATAAGTGCGGGGTAGTGGTGTAGGCGAGAGTGAACCACAAAAATGGGCCAGCGGCGGCGGCCATTAATGAAGGAATAGCAGAGAGAGAATTAGAAAGTCAGCAAAAGTAGAGCTCGGCAAAGGAAACCAAAAAAACTGAACGGTTTGCTTCAAGTTCAAACGAAGCCAAAACGAAGAGGAAAGTCGCCAATTATGTTTCATTAAGCAACGGTCAACAGAGAGCAGAACAGCGAGTGCCATTTGTCTGCAGTGACAGGCGGTAATAATAACACAGAAACAGAAAGACAGACAAAACAGACAGACGGAAAATGGCCGAAAAGAAGTGGAGAAAAGTCAGCCAAAAAAATTGAGCACTGGTAAACAGAGCACAAGCATACAGCAGAACCTGTTAATCGCAAAGCACACAATCTAATCCACAGCTTAGCACAATATTCTTTCTACCCCTTCACTTCTTCAGCAAACACAGCACAACACAACTAATCATCATCGTGATAGAACACTAAACAGAGCACCACTTCATTTACATGAAGAACATCTCTTCACTCTCATCATGGCCATTACCAGCACCACCAGCATCACCATCAGCATCATCATCATTGCAACAAGTACTTCGCCGGCGCATTAGCATAAAGATTCACTTTTGCTAAATTTCTCTATTTAGGAATCCATCAGCGGCTAATGACAAAAACCACAAAAAGAAGGTGGAGATGCTGTGGTGGTGGTGGTGGTGCTGAGGATGAAAGTGAACATCAATTGCAACTTTGGTGTGTCACCTGGCCAAAGAGAGAAGAGAGCCGATTCAACAGATTTACCTAAAACCACAGACTAAAATCTGCAGCACTAAAACAAATACTCTAGCCGCCAGCAAGGCAAGAGCATGGATAAAGAATAGAAGAAGATGAAAAAGGAAAATAGAGAAATAGCCGGCTCGCAGCATCTCCACGGACACCGTCGAATTTGCCGACAAAGCTAATT